GAGGCTCTGTTTGAGTTGAGCTGACTGGGGTTCAATATCCATTTGAAAGGAGTGTGTTGGGGTCTTTAGTAAAAGTTGGGAAGTTTACTTTTATTATGGTCTCCAGTAGGGCTTCCATTCTTTTGGTACAAATTTTCTTCCCTTTTAGGAATCCTTATTGTTTGTATATTTCAATGCTTCATGGTGTTTTTTCAGCACCTGTTCTGGTCTTTCTCTCTTCCTTTCTGCCTCTTTAACTACCTGGGTTAACATGAAAACTTTATCCTCTAGTTCTGAGGTTCTTTCTTCTCCATGGTCTAACCTATTTTTGATACTTTTTACTGCATTTTTACTTTGTCTGATTGTCTCCTTCATTTGTATTAGCTTCACCATATCCTTTCTATATTCTATATATTTCTCGTCTGACTTTAGTTCTGTCTTTCCATTTTCTCATCCATTCCTTTTATTGTCTTTATCCATATTTTAATTTCCTTTCTGTCAAGTTCATTAATTCTTTATAGGTGGAGTCTTCTGCAGTAGCTGCTTTATGGTCCCTTGGGGGAGTCCCTCTGTTTTGATTTTTCTTGTTGCCTGAATTTTTTTGTGGGTTCCCCCTCATGTGTTCTTTCTTCTTGTTTCCCTCCTGGTCTTCCTTTTCCTTCTCACTGCCTCCTTTGTTTTAAATAGATGTTCTTGCTCTTGATGATAGTATGTTGCAGTGTGTCCCCTGGACACCAGGTGGTGCTATGGGATTTTTTGGAGAGAGAGAGTTCAGCCAGCAACCTCTATGGTCTTATTTGAAACATAGTTGCTATTGATGATGGCCTGATTATTTCCTCAGCATTCAGAATCTGCTGGGGTGGGATCTTAAAGCTCACAAGAATGCTTCAGGGGCAGGTCTCACATTGCCCCCTGAGTCCAGTTCCCCTGGGGTGTGGGAGTCCCTCACCCTGTCCCAAGAGTGGAGATCTGATTCCTGCAAGTAGAATTAAGACAGTCGTGGGTGGCACCTATGGCTCAAAGGAGTATAGTGCCAGCCCCACATGCTGATATGCCATAGGTGGCAGGTTCAAAAAACTGCAAAAAAAAAAAAAAAAAAAGACAGTCATGCTTTAGACCCCTGCTAAGACCTTCTCTGGACCTTCCCACAATGGTAGCCCCCTGCCTGCCAAGATCTTCTCAGTATGGCTGCCTCATCAGCCATCAAACCTATAACAAATCCCCTCCAACCAGCATTCGAATCTGGTTGCTGTATACTATGCGAGCCCACCCACAATTCCAAGCTTTCCATTCAACTTATAGTTTACCCCAACAACTGAAAAAATGGGGAAAGGCTTCCTCCCATCCTGGGCCTCTGTGGGCAGCCAGCCAATCCCAGCCAGTTGCAATCACTTGTCTAATTCATCAGATTTCCACTTCTTTGGATTATACACTGTATCTAGCTCACCACCTCCTGGCTGTCCTCCCTTACCTCTGACCCTGGGTAAGGTCCCTGTGTCAGGAATGGCGAGGTTCTCTCTTTTCCCAGTTCTTTCTCCAGTTGTTTTAGGAGAGCTTAGCTGAATCAACCTTCTGGTCTACCAACTTACTCTGCCACCTGTTTTTTTTTTTTTTTTTTCTTCTTTTTTACTGAAGAAAGATCACAGGATTCCAAGTGGAATGAGACATTTAAAAAATTACCAGAGGATAAATCCAATTCATGCAGGTATCAGTAAATGAATATAATTATAGGATTTAATTGCTAATAAAATAAAAAGCTGAAGATAAAGTTTATCTGAGTATCTATTATCAACCTTTCCAACATTTACTTATTATAGTTATTTTTTTTAATTTAACAAACAATACTGGGTTTTATCAAATCCCTTCACATTTCTGCATCTAAAAGTTAATCTCTGTTTTGTTGCTGACAACTCATGTGTGTATTTTTGTTTTTTTCTAGGACTTTATGTTTTTTGAAACTACTGTGAGGGAGATATGGTAGAGGATTAATGTAAGTCTCCTCAGAAAATTTTAAAACTGTATATTGATTGGTATTGTCTATAAGGAAAGCTCAGTGTTTTTTAAGTTTTGTTTAATTAATTACTTATACCAGTGTGAGTGAAGCTGGGATACCTATATTTCCAGGTATATGTTTTCATTTTTTAAATTATAGAGTTTATTTTCTTTATCACTAGTTTGTGAAGATTTATTGTTTATTGTATATTTTGGAAAAAGGAGATAGGAATTTTTCCATTTAGATACGAAAATTTCTATAATAACTGCTTTAAATTATAGTCTGATTTTCTATTTTAGAAGCAAAAATAAAAGCCCCTTTAAAGGAATGTAAACATATCATTATATTTTATTAAATGGGGTTATAATTTCTTTGGTATGTAAAATTAATATTATGTGAACACTTTGTACTGAGAAAATGTATAAATTAGCATATTAGTTTCATCTACCCTGTTAGACACTTCATATGCTTATGTTAAAGTAAAAATAAATGTATATATTTTTTAAATTCAGAAAATAATCATGTATTTAATTCTTCCTATGAGCTAATCTGCTATTATAAATAAGATTTTCATAATGAATATACAAAAAATTAGCATTTTGGGTTGGTTTTCAGTGAATAGAGAAAACTTAATTCTATTGAAAGAAACATTTAAAAAACTCATTTATGGGCAGTGCCTGTGCCTCAAAGGAGTAAGGCACCAGCCTCATAGGCCAAGAGGTAGGGGTTCAAACCCAGCCCTGGCCAAAGACTGCAAAAAAAAAAAAAAAAGACTCATTTACTATAAAATGTTGATATTGTTCTCAGTTTTGAAGTTACTATTTAATATCACATAAAATTGTTATATTCTGCATTCTATCATTCCCAGCATATGTTAGTGACAGGACTGCTCAGGAATTAATTAAATCATATGCATACCATCAGAGAGTATAGTTCACTAATGGTCTTAGGTTATTTATGCTAATAATCAAATACATATCATAAAGACATAATAAAACTGGCCAGGTGCTCGCTTCGGCAGCACATATACTAAAATTGGAACTATACAGAGAAGAGTAGCATGGCCCCTGCGCAAGGATGACACGCAAATTTGTGAAGCATTCCATATTTGAAAAAAAAATTAATAAAACTGGCCAGGTGTGGTGGCTTACACCCATAATCCTAGCACTCTGGCAGGCTGAGGCAGGAGGATCTCTTGAGCTTAGTACTTCAAGATCAGCCTGAGTGAGAGTGAGACCTTGTCTCTACTAAAGGTAGTAAATAGTAGGGCATTGTGGCAGGTGCCTGTAGTCCCTGTTTCTTAGGAGGCTGAGAGAGGAGGATCACATGAACCTAGGAGTTTGAAGTTTCTATGAGCCAGGCCAATGCCATAGTGCTCTAGCCTGGGGCAACAGAGTGAGACTTTGTCTCAAAAAAATATATTGAAATAGCATGTTTGATTTTTGTATTTAGAAAAACTGAGGATAATCAATTCAGGTAGTATTTTAGACTCTTCACATTCACCTCTTCATCCGCTTAAGTCTACTTTAAAAAGAGCAAAGGCATATGATACCTTGTAGTAAAATCTGCATTAGTATTGTACACTAGGATTTTCACTTGTCATTAACTTAAAGGAATTTTGCAAATTGTTTTGTAGGGAAGATTGACTTGAGAGAGGAGATGACCAAGACACAGTTTGCCTCATGCAAAGCAAAAGTATGCTTAGGTAAGAGGGATGTAGGGGAGACACCCTCTTTCATCTTCAGCAGGACACCTCCAACTGCCACTCTCCTCATTACAAGTATCAACTTTGGTAGAATTTCACCAATACTAGTAGCTCCAAATGGCAAATGAAGAGAATATTGGTATGGCAGGGCAGCTACAATAAAAGCCAAGTCTATCTGACCTCCCAACAGCCAAAATAATTCACCACATGCTGGATTCAACTGATGTTGTGTACTGAAGCACTTCTATCGTATACATAGTACAGACTGGGTGCCAAGTCAAGGGGCCCCGGCATAGCTAGATCCAAGTGGCATTACTTGTGCCAGTTAGAGAAGCAGGAGGCCTTCCAGGCTCACCATAGGTGCCAAAACCCAACCCGAATTGAGGCTTAGAGGTACTGACAGTGTCTCTGTGACAGCTTCATGTTACTTTCATTTCTTCTTTTTCTCTCTGCTCTGCTTAAGATTCTTGATCTCTGGTTAAGCAAAGTAAAACTACAACTGACCTAAACAGTTCCTTCCTTCTTCTGCTGTGCAAGGAAGAGGAGAGCAGAAATCCACATACTGTCTGAAGAACTCATTTAATTTCAAATACTAGATAAATATCTCCTCATTAAATATTTATACTGAGAAAAGTCTTCAAACACTAAAAATTAGCCATTTAATGTTAAAAATATCAAAAATTGCAAAAAAAAATCTCAATCTGTTACCTCAGAAATTTTAGAGAATATAGCATATTAGTTTCTGGAAGAAGAATAGAACATATACTACATTCTAATGTAAGATTTCAGTGACATAGAAATTTATTTGTCTTAAATTTAAATATTTTATCCAGTGAGAATTAGTTTTTGTCAATAGTCAGAGATGTAGGTCCAATGTCAGTCTTCTGCATGTGGCTAAGCAGTTCTCTCACACCATTTTTTAAATAGGGATTCTTTTCCTTAGTGTATGCTTTTTGTAGGCTTATCAAAGATCAAATGACAATAGGTGGCTGGGTTCATCTCTACTTTATTCTATTTCATAGATGCAAGTCTCTATTTTTGTGCTAGTACCATGCTGTTTTGATCGGTATAGACTTGTACTATAACCTGAAGTCTGGTAACATGATGGCTCCAGATTTGTTTTTATTTCTAATAATTGTATTGGGTCTTTGGGGTTTTCTGGTTCCATATGAAATGGAGTAATATTTTTTCAAGTTCTTCAAAGTCTGATATTGGTGCTTTGAATGGATAGCACTAAATCTGTTGATTGCTTTGGGTAGTATGGACATTTAAAAAATGTTGATCTTCCTAGTCATGGGGATGGTATGTTCTTCCATTTGTTAACATCTTCTGCTATTTCTTTTCTCAGGGTTTTATATTTTTCTTTATAGAGATCTTTCACATTCTTTGTTAGATATATTCCCAGCAATTTCATTATATATTTATATATATATATATATAAATCATAGTTGTGTACATTAATGCAATCATGGGCTACAATGTGCTGGTTTTATATACAATTTAAAATGTTTTCATCAAACTGGTTAACATAGCCTTCATGGCATTTTCTTAGTTATTGTGTCAAGACATCCATATTCTACACCTAGTAAATTTCACATGTACCCTTGTAAGATGCATTGTAGGTGTGGTCCCACCAATTACTCTCCCTCCACCCATCCTCCCCACTTGTCTCCCCTCCCTCTGCCCTTTCCTTTTCTTCTTGGGCTATAATTGGATTATAGCTTTCATAAGAAAGCTCTAAATTGGTTTCATAGTAAGACTGAGTACATTGGATACTTTTTCTTCCATTCTTGGGATACTTTGCTGAGAATATGTTCCAGCTCCATCCATGTAAACATGTAAGAGGTAAAGTCCCCATCTTTCTTTAAGGCTGCATAATATTTCATGGTATATTTGTCATTCTTTTTTTTTTTTTTTTTAAGAGACAGATTCTCACTTCGTCACTCTCAGTAGAGTGCTGTGGCATCACAGCTCACAGCAACCTCCAGCTCGCAGGCTTAAGTGATTCTCTTGCCTCAGCCTCCTGAGTAGCTGGGACTACAGGCACCTGCCAAAATGCCCAGCTATTTTTTGGTTGCAGTTTGGCCAAGGTCGGGTTTGAACCCTCTACTCTTGGTATATGGGACCAGCGCCCTCCTCAACTGAGCCACAGGTGCAGCCCTATTTGTCATTGTAATTCACATTTTCACATAGCCTTTCTTTCATATACATCTGAAAGTAAGATTTCTCCATAACAGCCTCTCACACAAAGTGTAGCAAAAGGAGACCTGTTCAGTAGTGGATGATACACAATATTCTTAAACCATTTTATGGATGGTAATGCAATCTTTTAATATTTTGTTTATTCATTATTCAACAAAGACTGGTATGGCCTTTAGTTGTCTGCATGTCCTGGGAATGTAGCCTCAGCTTGGTCAGGTACTCAAATATTGAGTGTGCAATCCTTAATACTCCCTCCTCTTTGTACCTCTGCTTCCATTTCAGGCCAGTAGAATAATTGTGAGCTTTATATATTTTATACCTATGTATACATGTAACTATTTTAGAACCAACTAGTTATAAAGTTCTGAATGAAATGTTTCTTGTTGTGGCTGCTTGGATCCACCTGTCTTAGACTCTTCCTAACAGCAACTTTGAGAGACTGTGGATTATGGGCCAGACCCAGGACCAAGCTTTTTCAAAGCTAGCTCTCTGATAGCCATTTGACATACTACATGTATTTCCAGTGACTATCGTGTTCTCCATAACTGACAACTCTCCTTTGTTTCTGACTATGGTTCTCTTCATGGCCCATCTAATCAAGATTTTATAACTTATACTAGGAAACTGTAGTCTTTAAGTAAAAAGATCCATAACTACACTAATGCTTCATTATTGCCAGTAAGATGCAAGAAAAAATCTTCCTGGCTTTTGTAGAAGAATTCTAGGTTTCTGATTTTAGTACAAATCTCTGAGTGACCCATACAGATGTTTGGCATCTAAAGTAGGAAGCAGATATTTATGTTTTTATCTAGGGAACAGAAAAACAACACCAGAGTTGCAGAGAAACAATCCTCCAACCTCTTTCTTCTGCCTTATAATCTACTATATTTTTAAAATGTGTATCAAAGCATAAATAGGCCTGTTCTTCCTGCCCTGATAACATTTTCTGTATCCATATTCCCCACTCCCATGCCATGACCCACCTCAGATATTCCTATTATTCTTTGGGATACCTGAGCTTTCTCTCTAGCTTTTCCATTAATAAATGTAAGTGATAAAACATCTCTGAGGCTTATATTTT